CCAAGTGTAATGAAAAGATAAAAAATTTGCATATCCATTGGACAGACAGAATCAAAGTGCCCGTCCCATTCACTGAAATACTCGTCACAATGAAAAAGATTTGTTGCATGAGATAATACTTGTATATTGCATGTATTACATATCACAGGTTGACAATGATGGTGTGACTTTGTATAACAACGAATACAGCTGGAACAAAGCTGCTAATGTTATTTTCCTCGAGGCTCCTGCTGGTGTGGGATTTTCATATTCTGATGACAAAAACTATACAACAGATGATGACCAGGTAAGGCATTGTTAATTTGTATCTCTCTTCCCCCACCCAGTGTCCATCCATTCATCCATCTCTCACACTTTCCCAAACTTCCTCTATATACATACTTGTATCCATTCCTTCATCCTTCCTTCCTTTTCTTTCTCTTTATATCCATCTTCTCTTTTTCCCCATCTCTTCCTTTATTCATCCCATCCATCTTTCTTTTCATCTCTCAAGAACAATGGTTGCTTCAGATCCCTCCTTCAGCATCTTTATCTTATTCATTTTATAATTTCAATCTGATCTGATCTGAATCCATCCATCACAATATGATGTGTATTTAAATTTAATATTTTTCTCACACAGACGGCCACTGACAATTATGCAGCCCTTCAACACTTTTTTGTCAAATATCCTGCATTTGTCAACAATTCATTTTACATCACTGGAGAAAGTTATGGGGGTATATATGTCCCAACTTTATCCATGAAAGTTATGAAAGGTGCTGCTAACATTAACATGAAGGTAAGACATTGTACTGTAAGTATCTGTATATACAATATTTGCATATAATGTAAAATATGTTGGAAGTGTCAAGATACATACTCTTGTTTATACCTGGGTATTTCTATTATAATACATCTGTCACCATATTGTATCCCAGTGTTCTCCCCAGGCTCAGAGGCAAGCATGGCGGTCTAATTTGCATGCTAATTTGCATGCTAATTTGCATACTAATTTGCATATTTTTCAGAATTCACTCTCACAAAAACAAACATACAAGACAGTATTAAAATGTATGAGAGACTTTATTTAAATTACATAATACTTTACATAATATACCATAATTTGACAAGATCGTCATTTAATGTGAACTGTTCCATAAAACTTAGTCTAAACTAATCCTTCTGACTTTGTTGTGCTCCAAACATTGGCTGCCTTACTGTAGTTAAACTCGATCGTCAGACTTGCACGGGACTTTGTTCCATAAAGAAGATCCACTCTTTGCAATCATGTTGTGCTTTGAGCATTAACTGCACAACATTCCTAGTGGGAAAAAATGATAAATAATAAAAAAAAACAATGAGGAATGAGGTTCAAATAAATGTAAACATAACGATT